TTCGGGGTGCGACCAGAGTCACGGAACGAATTAAGTTCGTAAACCGAGGTTCCACTGTACAATATATAAATATAACATACAACATGGTAAAGGCTTTCTCCTGCTATGGGAAGAGTTAACCTTGCTGCTTGTCTTCCAAAGGTTTTCCCTCGCTTCAAGTCAACTTCCTCCATTCAGAATTTGAGCGACGACCTTCTCAGGTGGTCTTGCAAGCCAACATGAAGGTGGAACTCCTTCCAGCCCTCACAGACAACTACATGTACCTCCTCGTGGATGAGGAGACCAAGGAAGCAGCCATTGTTGACCCCGTGCAGCCCCAAAAGGTATGCTGGAGCACCCCACTTTCCCTGAGCATCCATTGGCAGAGACAAGGATCGTACCTTTTTGAGAGCAAGAGTTTTGACTTCGCGTTTCCTAGTAGTTAACGAATGCCAGGATTCAGAGCTGGGCACATTCTTTGCGTTTGTGGGTTGGCATTTCCTCACTTTGGGTGCGGGGAGGTGCTGGGGATTTAGCCCAGTTGTTTTGAGGGCCTGAGTCAGAAAGGTTTGGGCAAGAAATTGTGCCTTTCAGGAGCACAGTGTTATTTTAGGGCCAAGTTCCTTTTCTTTTATTATGTTTCATTCAAATGCGAGTGTCTAATTCCTTCTTTATTTTCAAGGATAGTGGTGGTGCAGTTATGGGTAGCCCTCGGCTTATGACCATTTGTCTGTGACCGTTCAAAGTTACGACAGCGCTGAACGAATGGTTCTTATGATGGATCCTTGGAGTTCTGACTGTTGCAGTGTCCCCACAGTCACGTGATTGCAATTTCTGAGGTTCCCTGCCAGCTTCTCACAAGCAAAGCCAATGGGGTAGCCAGCAGGAAGTCACAAATGGTGACCACGTGACATCCTTGCTTAATGATTTATGCAGTCCTCACTTAACGACAGGACTGCTGGAACTGCCGTCTCTAAGTGATGTGGTCATACGACATCATGCTTTATGACCACATCACTTAGTAACGGAAATTCCAGCCCTGATTGCCATCATAACCTGAGGACTACCTGTACTAGAGTTTAACATAATTAAAATTCAGGAAAATTAGTTCTATGTTAAAATTTTATTGCTCATTCTTGGGGCATGTTGCAAGAGCGGGGAATGGGGGAGCACTCTTTTGCCCTTTTCCCCTTAAGCCTTCAAAGGGCCATAGGAGACACAGCAACAATGTAGTGACTTAATTGGAATGGGAGAAGCTGAAATTTTGGGTCCTTTTTTGATTTATAGAGATCTGGGAAGAATTTAAAACAAATAAAATAAATTGTTAAGCCTCTCAGTTTGCCACTTACACTGTATTTTTTTAAAAATCACAGCTGAACATTGCCATATTTTGAAATAAATGCATCATCTGGCAATTTAAATTTCCCTTGTCACATGATTGCCTGCTACATGGTCAACACAGTACACGTCACTGAATAAGATTATAAACTACCCCAAATTCAATCCATATTCCTGAATGTCTATTCTGATTTAGATATCCTGTAAAATTCAAATAGAGTGTGTGCATGAAAAACCCCAGTGGTCTATGAATGGTTTCCAGCATGAACTGAATTCTGTGCCAGAATTATTTTTCAGACACAAAGTTATTCTGGATATTGAAGGATGCTCCCACATTTTAGCTAGCCTTTGAAGGTATCAGACAACCTTTCCAGTAAAAAACATATCCGTGCAGCAGTTAGCATACACAAAGCTATTTCAGTATGCCTTGAAGGAATATATGGTTTAGTAAAATTTAATAAGAATATTGCAGGTTGAAGTGGGAATTCAGCGTTTAAGATCTGTTTCATTCTAATATGAATCATTTTCCAAAATTGTTGAGCTTTACAACATTGCCACCAGTTAGGAAAGAATGGATCCAACTCATTACATTTCCACCAGGTTTTAGAGAAAGAATTGTCTAGTTTAGCAATCAGGGCTAGAGTGATAATATGAATGATAAAGCATCATACCAATTTTCTCTACAATTCAGAGTAATTGTAATGTTCTTCCATTGTAATTCTCATTGTTGCATAGCTATTACTGCCTCAAATTCTGCATCTATTTTATCATGCAGTCTTTGACTTGTTTGATTTCTGAGTCATAATTCACCAGCAATTTATACGAAGGCCCGATAGATGTTCTGAATTACATGTTACAAGATTTTCAAATTCAGTCAAGTCTCTAAATATTCCCCCTTGTTTCTTCAGTAATATATTCAGTAATGGTGGTAGTTCTTTTAGTGGTATGCTACTTATTTGGTAATGATGGTTGTCTTTCCTAATGGTTATTTCTTAGTGACCCCCAAATACTGGTTTCTAGAGACATTTCAGTAAATAATCTTTTGGTCAATTGCAGCTTTCGTGACACTCCTCGAGGTATTTTCTGTCCTCACTGATTGGTTTTACTGTGTAATGAAGGCAGCTCAGTTAATAGTTACTTTCTTCCTTTACCCTCAAAGCTTTGCACGTTTACGGTATTTTGTAAATAGTAATAGTAGTAGTAATAACAATAACAATTCTTTTGCTTTTCACTGTTTCTGCTAGGTTCTGGATGCAGTCAGGAAGCATGGAGTGAAACTGACCACCGTCCTTACTACACATCACCACTGGTGATCCTTTTTTATTATATGGTTTAAAAGGCTTTGCACCTGGGTACAAGGGCAGCAAGGAGGCAGGTGTACGAGGATTTTCCCCATGCTCAGGCTATAAACATTTTCTCCTGGGCTGGCTCAGGGCATATCTGCAACTGCAGACGTCATCCCATTTCAGTCCTTGCTGTCATCATGGCTTCCCAGACAAGGAACTCTAGAAATTGTAGCTTTCCAAAGTGGAAGGCATTTCTAGGGAGGAAAAAATATCGGCCTCTTTTCAAATTAACTGTTCACCGTGTCCCTCTGTGGAAAGCTGTGGCTGTCAAATGGAATTTGAATTTACCACTTTTGAAATGAAATTTGGGGGAATCCTTTAGGCCTGTGGTTTCCAAACCGTGCACTGCTGCACCCCAGGGCATCACAGTAAACTAACAGGGGCGCCACAAGACATTTTACTGCCTAATAAAAAGAACCATGAGTGAGTTTGCTATGACACCCTGGGATGCCTCTAGGAGTGCCATGAAAAAATTACTGAGGCACTAAAGATGGTGCGAACCTGGAAAGTTTAGAAACCTCTACTTTAGGCCATTGGTGGCTGGGATTTGTGTACAAATTAGGGGTGTACCTGATCAGCACCTTTTGGAGTCATTCTCCTCGTAGGTCGCATTATCTAGGGTAGCCTTTCTGAACTAGCATTCTTGGGAATTCTCATTTTCCCATTATTTGCTGGAAACTCAGCAGGTGTAATTTCAACACATCTGTAGGACCCCAAATTGGAGAAACCCACCACCTCTTCCTCCCCCTGCTCTCTTCTCAGGCACACTTTACCCTCTAGGCTTGGCTCTGGCTTGAGTGATTGTAAGTTTTTGGCTGTGAAATAAATTCAGTACAGTAGCACATCAATACAGGCTTTCTTGGCAGCGCCTTCCTGCCATCCCAGGAAGCTGATCTATGAAATGTTAGTGAGATGCAATCTTGCTGGCAGGTCTTGGGCTAAATTCTGACTCTCAGTTCCCATCTGCTTTAAGACAAGGTCCATGGGTGTCTCTGGTTAGCCAGAAATATCCATGGGAGGGTTCAAAATTGTCAAGAACATTGCAATGCCACCCTGGACCCTGCCCCTTTTGAAAGTACGTGGCTGACACTGGTACAAAAGGGGTTAGATCCTAGACATCATGGTGTTCTATCTGCTGTCTTGCCAGTTTTGTCATCCCTGCCCTTAGCCCAGTTTTCCAGATGCCAAGAAATCTGGCTTCCATTGCAACCACATCTCAGATGACCACCTCTTAGCCCAGTTGAATAGATAACATGCCCAGTCTGGGCAGTTGCCATGCCTGTAGTTGGGTTGAAAGGAAAGTGATTGGCCAGAGAAGGCACTAATGTCTTTTTGTTTCACCCCAGCGATCTGACTTGCCTGGTGGTGTTTCTCTGAGAAGTAACTTCCTCCGGGATCTAGAATCTGCTCAGGCACTGAAATATAAACTGCCTCCTCAAACTAAGGCCCACTCTCTAGCTTCTGAGTCTTCTTGGTTTTGAGTCATTTCTAATTTGTTGAGTTTCTAATAGCTGTATTTAGGGTGTTTCTCCACAGCTGAGTCAAAGTAGTCTCCACCCCTCCTTGAGTCAGCAAAAAACTCACCTGCCATGAGAGTTAGTCTCTCCAGCTTCTATCGCCATTACTTGTGGATTAGGCTGCGGTCGCTGCTGCTCCATCCTTCTGGCCGTCCTCCTATTTGCATAAGCTTTGAATGATAGAGTCTCTTGAACGGTGCACTGATGCAACAGCATTGTGCAACAGGAGTGCAAAAGCCCTTTCCACCAGCTCGTAGCTACTCCTTGCCACAGACTACTGATTCAGGAAGCACAAGCTCCAGTTTAAAAGAAAATCAAATCTAACTAAGTGCCAGTTTATGTAACACACTAAGCCACCCTGTTTGCTTTGGGCTTCATGCGTTGCATAAATCCAGCCACTGGGGGCTTATTCAGCATAACGTGACTTCGTGTGAGCCCAGTTTGGCAAAAGCAGGACTGAATGGCCATTTTGCTGGATATGCGTTTTCAGCGAATGCTTCTTCTGTGTTTGCACAGCCTCCAAAGTCTGACATTTTGACCTTCTAGGGACCATGCTGGTGGCAATGAGAAACTTGTAAAGATGGAGCCGGGGTTACAAGTGTACGGGGGAGATAGCAGGGTTGGAGCCCTCACCCAGAAAGTCTCTCATCTTATGTCATTTCAGGTAAAAAAAAAAAAATGGTGGGGGGGAGGACAGGTTTGCCCAGGTGCTTTCTGAAACATGCACCCCATCCAAGCTTGGAGGTGTGTGAATCTCCTGTGCATGATTGCTATGCTGACCTCTTCATTCTCCATCCTGGTGGAGAGGGAGCTGTCTCTGACTAGAAGTGGCAGATTTGGGCTAAAGGGCCAATTTTATGGCACCGAGTTGCTTCACAGCCTAGTTCACGTTGGTAACCGCCATTACCTTCCACGGGAACTGTGTGATGCTCCCCAGTCATCTAACGCTTTGCTGGAATCAGTGAACATTCACCACTCTGTTGTCTTTCTGCTACAAACAAATCTGTGCAGTCCAAGGAAAACTGACCTGGGTCTATTGGCATGATATCTCTTGATTGGACGTTCCATGTAGATGGCCCAAAACATGCTTCTTGTGCATCAGTAGGAAACTGGTATGTGCAGTTGCAACTTCTGGCTAATTTTAGCCAGGAGGATTTCTCAGAGGAGGGGTAACCGTTTGAGCCTCTGGGAGAAGCAGCGAGCAGGTCCTATAAACTGTGCCCTCTTGTCCCCCTGAATGTAGGCAGAGAAATATCTTGACCTGGACCCACTTTCTTGATGTGGGTAGCGTCAGATTTTGGAGCTGCACAGAATTCTTTACTGAGCAGGTTGAATGCATTTTGTCATACAGACACATTCGCTCTTTGGATGAGTAGCAAAAGTCTTTTTAGCAGAAGAAGTCTGAAAGCCAAACTAGTCGCTAATCAAAAGCGATCTGGGTAAGGACAGCTGTGGGGAGGGATGGTTGAAGTCTCCTCCCGGCCACATTCCGATCCAGAGTGGACTGCCTGCAGCAAATGTTTAAATGCAAAACTCAAGGCCGACAGCACTGATCTTCTCCCTGGGTGCATAACACAGGATGTCTCAAAAATCAGTTGCCTCCTGTACATAGAGGTCTTGCTGCCTAATTTAAATATTAAATGATGGTTCTATTTAATTGCTAATCTGAGCCAATGTGGTTTGTTTTTAATAACACTTTCTGTTCAACATCAATTTAATTTTAAGAAGATGACATCCATAGTTCATTATGGATGCAGTTTTGCACGTTTTTTATGTGTGCACATTTTTTTATACCATGGGTAATTCTGGAACAGAACTGGGAAGTTTAAAATGTGCCTGTCTGTTTTTTAACAAATAGATCTGGATCTCCATAGCAATTTTATATTTAATTTTTCTTCGCTGTCTGGCCATTCATCAGGTCAGAACAACTGGAATACAGAAATATATTTGTCCCACAATTTCACAATCTGAGTTTGTTTCTTCCCCATTTTTTCCCCCATTTTGCTTCTGCTCAGACTGGAAAACACTGTTTGCAGCATTGAAAGTGTTATATTTTAAGCAGATGTTCGTTTTCTCATTTGGTCATGGGTCCTAATAGAGCTGGAATGTGCTTTATTAGGACTCATGAAGAAAACAAACATTTGACCAGGTGGGCAAATCATAAGAACTGAGAGTGTGCTGGGGCACTGTTACAACATAGTGGCCGTGGCTGGCTTGAACTTTAACAAGAGGGCTGCCAAGGTAGGTGAGTAGCCCATTTCCCAAAAGGCAAACTGTTGAGATAGTTCCTCACTGCTGCCTTTTGGTCTTGAAGTTGGCTTTTAAGGATTTCTACCAAACTTCCTTCTCGGAAGGAGGGCACAGCTTCACGTCCAAGCATAAACTGCACCCTCCCACAATTTTTGCGTTTTAAGGATGCCAGTGAGTGCCATCTTCTCAATCAAGCTGATGCTAGAAACTGGCGAGGTTGCTCCTTCCCACCTCTTGTACTGGGAGATACAGTCTACCCTGTTTCTGTGTTCTAAGAATGCATACGGGACCTGATGGGCCCGAGGAGTTCATATAAATAAAACTAGAAGCTGGCATTTTGCTTTGCAGCAAGCAAACATGGTGTTTATTTTTCATGAAAAGAACCTTAAAGTAGCCAAGTGAGGTGGGCCAGGAAGCCTGGTAGCCATGAAAGCTGCTTATGGGGGCCCTTGTTGTTTGCCTCCACCTACGTCCTGGGGAGGAATTTTGTAAGCCTTCCAAATCTAGGCACATAGCTGCTCTGTGCAGCAAGTTGCTAAAATGTTCTTTGCCTGGAGCTACCAAAGGCCTCTGGCCAAATGGGCCTTCTTTGCCTCCTGCCTAGTGAAAAGTTCTTTGCAACAGAAAAGCTTCCACTCAGGCCAGGAAATGTGTATCCAGCTCAAGTAATGGAACCATTAAGGTAGCATTGGGGCTGTAACTGATTGGAGCAACCGGATTCACATCAGCTGCTGTTTGGTGCTCTGCTTCTCTCTACCTCTCAGATTTGCTTGCTATGTCATCTGAGCTATATCAGACCCACAGATGGTGTCAAAGCATCCCCATCAGTAACCAGCAGATTTCTCCCCTCCTCAGGTGGGCTCCCTCAACGTGAAATGCCTCTCGACCCCTTGCCACACTTCTGGACACATCTGCTATTTTGTGACAAAGCCAAACAGCTCAGAGCCGCCTGCGGTGTTCACAGGTACACTCCAGAACCACAGCCTTCCAACGAGATTATTGTTGTTATGAGTAGTATTTCCATGATAGCTTTCTTCCTGAAGGAAACCAGTGCACAGAACAACCCAATCTTCAATAAAAGCACCAACAATAAAACCAGCAAAGGAATCAAACATTAAAACAAGCTTATTTAAAACAGAAAATCTTACTGAAGGCAATCTAAAGACTATCTTGTCATGAAGAAGTTGGGACCCACAAATACCTGGGTGAACAGCCTGATTTCAGTTCCTACTGAGCAGAAGGGAGGTGCTTTTTCCTTGGGAAAGGGTTCTCTGATGTGGGCACTGCCAACTGCATTCTGGGCTGTACCTACTGCTGGAATGGCAAGCCGCATCTTCTCACATTATCTGAATGAATCGTTGGATTCCTTTGTTGGGATCTTTTAAATCCTGTGTCCGAAGCCATGTATTTGGTGGTTCAATTTGCATTCCACCTTTTGTTCAGCAGGTGAAAGTAGCGCTCCCTCTTCCAAATTTCCATTCTGCAACCCTGTAAGGTAGGTTAGGCTAAGGGAAAATCACTGGCCCAAAGTCTCCCAGTGAACTTCCATTGCTGAGGATGAACTTGGACCTGGTCTCTCCAGTGCCAGCCTTTCAACGCTACGGGGCTTTATAGATTTATGCCGACATTTTCATTTGGGCCTAGTAACCTCCAGGCAACCCATATAGCCATTTCAGCATCAGAATTATGGGGGCTCATTTGCTGCCTTCCATAGCTGCTGTATATTTGATTTAAGGAGTTGCAGTGTGGTGCTATGTTCACATCCATGCATGCTTTGAAGCACTTTCCTGCCTTTGAATCCAAAGTAATTGCATTACACAGCCCTATATTTATCAATCAAGTAATTATATTTTGCACCAGTTGTACCTTGAGAACCATCTTCAAGGACAGCTCCTTGGTATGGTTCTTGAAGTTATCCAAATATAGGATTATCAGGGCCTGTGTCACTGAAACTAGGCTATCCCAGCCCTGATAATACAACAGATGCTGTTGTATTATCTGTCTGAATCTGGGCAGAGACCCTGCTTGCAACTGAGACCCCCTGAACAGTAGGGCAAAGGGTCAACCCCTCTGTAACCAAGGACTCCTACCTCCACCCTCTGGTGGTGGTCCCAGAAGTAGGAACGTGGCTTCCGTAACACACGGCCTCTAATTCCCAGTCCACTGAGCTATGTCACCAAAGTCCCACAATCAGTAGTGCCAAAGGAGTCCAACAGAATCAGCCCTGATGCCTCGATATGTCTGCTAAGCTTATTTCCAGGCAGGCAGTGTTTTGTAACTTGGAAACATGCTTTTAACAGCCTTTTTACAGTGGTTGCAAGCAAGCAGAGTAATGTAATTATGTTATAGGGTAGGTGGAACTGGAAACGGAGACCCTTTTTAAAATCATTGGGGCCTTTTTGTTCAATGCAAAATAGATTTGTTAAGTGTATTGGTGGCTTAATAGACCTATTTTCCTTAATGTTTGTGCTACAAAATCATGAAAAAAATCAAATAGCCATTATTTGGTGGTAATGTTTTAGCAATACAGACAAAGAGGTTTGGGGGAGTTCAAAGAAGGGCCTGGGGGCTCATGCGGGTTGTGGCTTGCCCAACCTATTTTAAGCTATTCCTTGCAATTTCCCAACAGCTTTCTCCACTTCTATATTTTACTTAATAATAATTTATTAAACTTGTATGCCGTCTGACTCTTAATGACTCTGGGCAGCTCACCACAATCAAACAATAAAAACCAATAGAACAAAAAATAAAGATGACAAGTGCGATGAAGTGAGAGGTCTCCCTCTCCCTGACCAAAAGGGTAGAGAGCCAGGTCTTCACAGCTCTTCTAAACAACAGCAGTGTGGGGGCCGTATGGATCTTGGGGGAACCTCATTCCAGAGGGCAGGCACTGCTGCAGAGAAGGCACGCTTCCAGGGTCCCAAGAGATGACATTGTTTGATCTAAGGAACCCAGAGCGCGCCAACCCTGCAGGATCAAATCGGCTGGGCAGACATTATGGGAGACAAGCAGTCCCTCAAATAACCAGGCCCTGTAGGGTAATAACCATGTAGGGCTTTATAGGTAACCAGCACCTTGAATTGCACCCAGAAGCAAACTGGCAATCAATACAGCTTGCAAAGCAAAGGTGTTATATGGGCATACCAAAGCATGCCCATTACTGCTCATGCCACCATATTCTGGACCAATTGAAGCTTTTGCTTGGTCTTCAAGGGGAGCCCCATGTAAAGAGCATTGCAATAGTAAAGCTGCAAGGTGACTAGGGTATGTGTATCTGTCAGAAGAGCCCCCCAATCTAGGATATGAGTGTCTGTCTGAAGGGCCCCCCAATCTAGGAAAGGGCACAACTGGTATCACAGCAGACAGCTCTTCAAGCAGGATCTGTGAGTCCAGGAAGACCTCCAAATTGCTACCCCAAACAAGGTCAAAGATGGAATATCTGCAGATCTGGGTGGTCCAAACACCCACAGCCACTTGGCCTTGGTAGGACTGAGTCAGAGACGGTTCTTCCCCATCCAGTGTATACAGCCTTCAGGCACTGGAACAAAACCTTGACTGCCTCACTTGACTGGCCCAGAATTGAAAGATATAATTTGGTATCATCCCAAATGGGCAGATGATCTCACCCAGCAGTTTCATGTAGATGTTAAAAAGGAGGGGGGAGAGAGTAGAACCCTGTGGCACCCCACACAGAAGGGGCCTAAGGAATGATCTCTCCTCCCCCCCCACCAACACCAACTGGAACCAGTTCTGGAGAAAGGAAGGGAACCACTACAAAACAGTGCCCCCGGTCCTCAACCTATGGAGCCAGCTCATCATGGTTGATGAGATCAAGAGAAAGAAAGATCAAGGAGCACAAGGATGCATCACTGCCATCCTGACCCCACCACACGTCATCCACAAGCACAACCGAGGCGCGCTCAGTACTAAATCCCAGCCTGAAATCTGACTGAAATGGCTCTAGATCATCTTTATCTTACTTGCTGGATACTTGAGAATTTCTTCCACATCTTTCCCTATCTTAGGAGCCGCAATTGATCCTAGTCTGAAAAAGCTCCATGGGAGGATTTCCCTCTTGAACTTGTCCCTTGGGATCGAAGAAATTTGAGAAGCCAAGAAAACTTCAGACTCCTAGAGAGAGATGTATACAGAAAGACATTTTATACATGGCAGTCTCATTATTAGTAAAGACCAAGAAAATCACAATTCTACCCAGCTTTTCTCCCATAAACTCTTCTCATTTGAAAGAAAATTGAAAAGCAAATTCTCTTTCATCAAAACTGAGTAACATCCAAGAGGGAATCTAGTTGGTGCTGTTTGGATTGACAAAACAGCTGATATTGTAAAGCAACATGGAACAGATGTAGGAGTCTAGTAGCACCTTTTCAGACTAAACTGAGCTGATTGCCATCAAGTTGGTTTTGACTCTTAATAATCCCATAGATAGATCTTCTCCGAGATGACCTGTCCCCCACCTGGTCTTTCATATTTTCCAATGGTGCACCCATTTCTGCTGTAATTGAGTCTTCTTGTTGCCGTCTTTTCCCTTCCATGTTTCCCAACATTATAGACTTCTCAAGAGAGCTCGGTCTTCACATAATGTGTCTATAATGTGATAATTTGAGCCTGGTCATTTGTACCTTAACTGAGAACCCTGGGTTAATTTGTTCTATTATTCATTTGTTTGTTTTCTTGGCTATCCATGACATTCTTAAGCATCAAATTTCAAAAGTGTCAATATTCCTTCTACCCTGCTTTTTCAAAGTCCAACTGTCGCTTCCATAGAGGGTTACAGAGAAAATCATTGCCTGCACGATTCTGATCCTCGTGGTATAGACATCGCACAGCATCTGAATATATTTTCCAAGACCTTCCTGGCTGCTCTGCCAAGTTCTAGTCTGTGGTGCATTTCTTGACTGTTGGTTCCTTTACTGTTGATAGTCGATCCTGAAAGGGAAAAGCTATCCACCATTGTATTTATTTTTCATTTCATCTATCTATCTATCTATCTATCTATCTATCTATCTATCTATCCATCCATCCATCCATCCATCCATCCATCCATCCATCCATCCATCCATCTATCAGATTTTTCACCGCCCATCTCGTTGAACGACTCTGGGCAGTTTTAATTTTAATATTAAATTTAAATTAATATTTAATTTTAATATCTTCATTGTTAATTCTAAGACTGGTGGTTCTACCCGTTATTAGTTTGGATTTATTTTTATTTAATCTTAGTTGCATTTTTTCACTCTGCTCATTGACCTTCGTTACTAAAGTTTTCAGTTCTTTTGCATTTTCAGGTATCAGAGTAGTGTCATCAGCATGGCATATGTTATTGGTGTTCCCTCCTCCAACTTTTAAACCATGCTTGTCTTCCTCCAATCCAGCTTCCCTGAATATATATTCTGCATATAGGTTGAATAAATAAGGGGAGAGCATACAGCTTTGTCTTCTTTGCCAACCTGGAGCCAGTTTGTTTCGCCAGGTTCTGTCTAGGCTATGGCTTAGTGACCTGTGTATAGGTTTTGCATGAGGACAATGACGTGTTCTGTAATTTCTGTTTTCCTGAGCACATTCCACAGTTTAATATGGTCAATACAATCAAAGGCCATTCTATAATTAATGAAGTAAAAAGAATTTACTTCTTTTTGGTATTCTTTGGCTTTCTCAATTGTCCAGTGTACTTCATCAATAATATCTCTTGTTCCTCTGTGTTTTCTGAAACCATCTGGCATCTCCCTTTCTATACAAGGCTCTAATCTGCGTTGGATGGTCCTAAGCATTATTTTGCTAGCGTGTTTGTTAAACACTATTAAAGATAGTACAGGTAGTCCTCGTTTACCAATAGTAATAGGGACCGGGAAGTCCATTGCTAAATGATGCAGTCATCAAGGCGCATTGTCACGTGACCACGCTGACTTACGATGGCAATTCCAGCAGTTGCAGTTGTTAGGCAAATCCTGCACAGTTGCAATATCCCACAGTGTGATCGCCATTTGCAACTTGCCGGCTTCCCCATTGACTTTGCTTATTGGAAGCCAGAAGTGAAAATTGCAAATATGAGCTGGTTGCCAAGATCACATGACTGTGACTATGCTGTGAGGTTGACAACAAGGACCCATCGTAAATCCCCCTCATTCAGCACTATTGTAACTTTGAATGGTCACTGAATGAATGGACGTTAAGCAAGGACAACCTGTATATGCACATTCTGTTAAGTCTCCCTTCTTTGGTATTGGTATGTAGACTGATGTCTTCCAATCAGTGTCATTCTCCAGATTTTTTGGCATAGTTTGGTTAGAAACTTTATTGATTTTTCTCACTGCCATATTTCTTTAGATTTTCTATAAAATCTTGTAGCTTTCTGATTTGGTAATGACTGGAGTGCTGAACTAAAGTCATCTTCTGTCATTAGAAGTTCTTGTAAGAAGGGAATATCTTCTAAGGTATCTTTGACATCTCTGCTGTACAGAATTTCAATGTACTCTACTCCTTCTGTCTTTGATCTTCTTTGAAACAATTACTGTCTGTCCATTGGTGTCCAATTCAAGATTTGTTTATTTATTTATCTCAGTTTATATAGCTGTCCATCTCAAGTATATGAATCTAGGTGGCTCACAAACCTCCTTCTGAATTCAGAGATCTTTTGGAAGACTTTCCTTGTTTTTCCATGTATTTTCATCTTTAATGTCCTTACAGATGTTGGAATACTGCTTTCTTATCTCTTCTAAATTTCTCTGAAATTCTTCATTTCTTCCTGAGATGTCTTTAGTTTCTCTTCTTGGCAATTCCCACCATTGGTTCTGACATCCAGTTTGTTTTCTTTTGTTTTTTGATCTCTGTCAGTCTCTCTTCATATTCATCCTTAACAACTTCTTTCAGTTCATTCCACAGTTCTTCTGGTTCCTAGCTGACGAAGTTCAGGACTTCAAAGCAATTCCTGATGTTCTCCTTGAAAATTGTAGCTATATGCTCAAAATCATTTTGTGGAAACTGATTGGCTTTCTTCTTCTTTAGCTTAACTTGGAACTAGCCTGTGAGCAGTTCATGATCTGTTCCACAGTCAGCCCCTGGCCATGTCTTTGCGGTTATGACTGAGCACTTCCATTTCTTCATTCCATTAATATAGCAATTTGATTTCTGTGTTCTCCATCTGGTGATGTCCATGTATACAGGCATTGTTTTGGTTGATGGAAGAAGCAATGAAGAAATCATTGGATAGTCAGAAATTGATGTTATTCTCCTGCTTCATTTTGGTTTCCGAGGCCATACAGCCCAACTATGTTTTCCTCCTTACTATTTCCGGTGTAGGCATTCCAGTCTCCATTTTTGCTTACATGTTCTCTTGATTTCAGGTTGAATATGGCCATAAAACTCATCATCCATCTCTTCCGTATCAGTATTGGAGCATAAATTTGGATAATGGTCATATTGAAGAGTTGCTGCAAAGTTCACTTGATATCACTAGGTCATTAACTGCATTGTCTCCAAGTACTGTCCTTGCTATATCCTTCCTGACTATGAAACGAGGCCATTCCTTCTTGGTTTATCATGTCCTAGATAGTAAACGTTGTGATCTTCTGACTGGAAGTATCAAATTCCAGTCCAGCACAATTCATTGATGCCTACGATGTCAGTGTGTAGTTGATCCATTTCATTTCACCGTGTTGAGCTTTCCCATGTCCGTGCTTCTCATCTTCCATGTTCCCACTGCGATTCTGTCTTTGCTGTTTCAGATGTTCTTTTCCTGCAAGGCATCATCATCAACTAGGTCCTCAGTTCTGCCTTAGTAGCATGTTGACCTGAGGGACCCATTGTTCGGCACTCTGTCACTTTATATTGTCTACCCGTATGGTAAACTACAGGAGTGGTTTACCACTGCTTTCTCCTGCACAGTATGAAGTTATGTGCTTGCCATTGTCACTAAAGTGAACGTCCACCTGCAGCATCTTCCTGTATTGCTACTGCCCAGTCTAGGTGCCTGCTTGCCTTTTAAGGGCAGCCAGAGTGACCTTCACACCTTGGGTGACCCTCCTGACAGTATACAGGTGTTCTTCGCTCATCCCTCCCAGGAACAAAAGCAATAACCCTCCCACTATGATAAAGCAGCACAGCAGGACAGTTCACAAAAGTTTATGCCTTTTAATAAAACGTGTTAGTCCAAAATAAACTAACATTGCAGGTGAACTACAGTGGAGCAGATTATATTTCTGTTTTGTGCCATACAGCACTTTGTGTATTGCAAGAACTAAATAAATGTGTAGGCTGGTATTCATTCCTTCTGTACAACTGTGCCCAATTTTTGTACTTTCAGCAGTGTGCCAGTCCTTCCCTTGCATAGTAGTCAGTTTCTACTTTTTGAACCCCATCTTTCTTCCAGGGGACACCTTGTTTGTGGCTGGCTGCGGAAAGTTCTTTGAAGGAACTCCAGAAGAAATGTACAGAGCTTTGATTGAGGTCTTGGGGCGCCTCCCTCCTGAAACGGTATTTTTGTATAAATACAAAACCTCTTGGGGGAGAGATGGGGGGGAGGGCTCAAAGACAGTGAGCTGGGTTTATACAGCATTCTAAACCTGGATTAGCAAAACACAGTTTCATACAAGTCACGATCACAAAGGCCAGATGCATCCCTCCCTAGCCCCAGAAGACCCTCCAACCCCGTTTTAAGCAATTGAGACAAATAACATGGCAAATATACATTCATCTATCATTAATTTGCAATTGTTAAGTAACTTTTTGGAAAGCATCAGGATAGGCTGACCTACATTTTCTGAATTGGTGGTTTCTAACTTTCTCTTCCTCTGCTTCTTTCTTGGCTAGAAAGTCTACTGTGGCCACGAATATACCATCAACAACTTAAAGTTTGCCCGGCACGTGGAACCAAATAACCCTGCCATCCAACGAAAGCTTTCATGGGCAAAGGCAAGAGAGTTTGCACTTTCCTTCCTTGGAAAATCAGGAGTGATTCCTAAGAGGTCTTGCCCTGCCTTTAGCTTGTTCTCTTTGGTTGTAGGAAGGTCCTGTTTGAACTTCCCCAGGGCATTAAATGCAGGGACTGGCAGTTGCAACCCCATGACCTGCCTTGTTCCCATGGTTTTCTGTGATTTGTTCAGGGCCCTGGCAGAAATGGTCAGTCCTTCTGCTGGGAGGGGCAAAAAAATGGCAAAGAAACAAAGGGGGACATTCTTCTCAACGCTGGCTTTGATTGTGCCAGCGACTGGTGCAAGAGATTATCAGTGATGCAGCTGCACGGTAGGTACATCCCTCAAGGATTCTTTCCTGGGGTTTTCCCAAGCCCTTCTCTTCTTTTTGTAGGCCAAGTATGATGGAGGGGAGGCAACCATCCCGTCAACCATCGGTGAAGAATTCACATACAACCCATTCATGAGAGTGAGGTAATTTCTCTGTGGCAGGACAGCTGTGGAGAGACAGCTGTCTCCCAACCAGTTTGAAAAGAGAAGCTGCCTTCTGGCACTCAGCAGAAGGTCACTTCTGGACAAGCAAGTGTTCAGCAGCTGAAAGAGAACTTTCATTTTATTTCAGCCCCAAATGTAGGAACTGGTTTTGGGGGGG